TGTTCTTTTTCTTTTTCTTTAGGAGCTCGGTGGAATATCTGAGGATGGTGGGATTTCAAGCCTAAACGGCCAACTTCTTTCTCCTAACGTGAGTCACGCATCTGAAGAAACAAAAACCGACACAAAACCTGACAACTCATCTACTGGTGTGATTGGGAGAACATTCTCCGGAATTAGTGCATCCTTTCTCACGAGGAGCTGTAGTGCAATGCAATCATTTAAGTAGAGCACTTACCATTTTCGGATTGTGAACACGGAAAAACTGGTTACGACATGTTTCTCCCCAATGTCTCGCCATTTATGTTTATATCTATCGACTACCTGAGTTTTGTAGATCCTTTTTCTTGCAGAAATTTGCCCCTGGTGAACTTTCTCAAGTTCTGTTGAAGGTTGGGCATATAATTATATTATAGTGTAGGGAGGAAAACATCGAATAGAAGGACCTCAGTTTTTGTTGCCTTTAGTGTTCTGGTATGGAGAAGTTGTATTTGGGACTGTTAACAAACCAAACGTTTGCGAACAAAAGCTCGTTCGAGCTTGTCCGTGCTAGACACGAGCTTGTTCTTTTGTTAATCAATTCGAGTGTGAAGAGAAATTTGGCTAGTTTAATAATCAAACGAGCACGAGATTGCCGCGAATGTTCGATAATTTAAATATACTTTATTTTTTCGTATATTCAAATGATGTTTTTCATAAAAAAATCTAAAATATAATAATATATTATTTTATTTTCAATATCGAACGAGTTTAAATGATTTTTGAATTTCAGTTTTAATCATTATTTGGACACAATCGAACTGCCCGTTTAAGAACAACTAAGTAAACAAGTTTGAATACAATTTTTTGTCTAGAAAATAAACAAACGAAAAAGAACAATGTTTGAACGTAAACGTGTTTGAATGTAAGCGAATACGAGCTTAAAATGACCAAGCTAGAATACGTTCGGTTCGACTACAACACTGCTCAAAATGACCAAGCTAGAATACGTTCGGTTCGACTACAACACTATCTTCGTAGCTCAGCTTGTAACACAAAAATAACTAAGATGATTATTACGTTTTTAGGTGTTGAAATGTAAAAGTGGATTGAATTGATTTGAATGGATATCCAATATGTATTTGGGGTTCGATAGTGGGCCCAAAAAGGGGTTAAAAGGGTGTATAAATTTCTCAAAGAAAAACACACGAAGAGACAAAAAGCCCAAAGCAGAACCATATTGGAGGGAACCATTTCCCGCCCTTTTTCTTCCCCATAAGTTTCAGCTGCAACTCTAATGGAAAACCCTTACTATCATCTCTCATCAGCTACTGTTTTATTCTGTTGCTCATTCTTCATCCTCTCCGTCAATTGATTGAGCTTACAGATGGAGGTCGTCGGATCTCGCCGAAAACCATCGCTGTCCTCCGACGGCATCACTGTCTCGACGTTCCCTATTTACCGCTCGGCGCCGGAACTTGAGGTCCGTCTCGAAGATTTCGAGCTTTACGCTGTTCAACGCCTTCGAGGTTTCTTCCTTTGCCTGTGCTGTCTGTGTTTGTTTTATTACCAAGTCGTTCTCCTTCTTCTTTACTTCTCTTCCCCTCACATTTTGATCTGCCATGAGGTCCTAAAATGGAAGCATTCTGAAAGTATTTACAATGTCAACGAATTTGTGTATATAGACTCATAAAATTGTTGATTGAACTTTTAGAACAGGTGATGATAAAGCAAATTGTTCAAGCTTAGTTTAGACGGTGTCTGATTTTACTAAGGATTTAGGTTTACCCAATTCGTGAACAGATCGTGATGTTCATTGATTTGGTTTTCTTTGTTTCTTTCTTTACTTTTATCAAATTTTGTTCCTTTTGTATGATTTGAATTTCTTTCTTGGATAATGTTAGATGTTTGAGCTCTTATAGATCATTTTTAATTGGTAGTAGTTCCACCCTATTCTTTGTGTCTCTGTAGTAGTTCATTGCTGGCTAAATGGTGCAGTTTTTTTTTTTGGAAAATTCAATACACAGCTCGGTGACATGATCAATTCAGTAATAATTTTGATTTTCTCTGTGCAGTTCTTAAAGGGATTTCAGATGCATTGTCCAGAGGCAAGAAACCAAATGAGATGGAGAAAATTGTAATACTACAACTTATGTTCTTCTATTTCCTATAATGTTTACACAGAGCAGGTAATGAATGATTTTTCTTCCTTGGATTAAGACATTTTCTTGTGCAGGTAAGGGAGTTATTGCTGAAGGCCAACATGCTGCATTCAGAAGTACCCGATGTCAACAACAAGGACATCATTTCCCATTTCGTTTTGCGCCTGGTCTACTGTAGGCAGTAAGCTTCTACGATGGTTTTTCTCCCTTCTAATATCCTCGTATACTAACTTTGCAAATGCAGTTTTTGTTTTTGCCATTTACCTGTAAATTATCATTAATATATGGCAGGGAGGAATTAAGAAAATGGTTTCTCTCCATGGAGACTGCACTGTTTCGCTACCGGTTTCAATTCCAAGCTCCTGACGTCCAGGTGTGATATTGCTATTTGTACCGATCCACCAATTTTCCGAGATACTTCCATAAAATTATCTGATTTAGTGTCTGATCTCATCTAAATGGGTTCTCTATGTAGAGGGAAATAATGGCGGAATTTGACCTGCCTTACAAGGCCGTGAACAGTGCCGAATATGAGGTAATTTGTTAAAAGTTTCTTTGAAAACCTTCTCTGAGTGTGATGCATGTGTAATCGTTTTGACATAGTTCTAACTGTATTATATAAGTCTTCACTTTGATACATAAATTATCTACTGTATTACTTCCATAAAGTAAGTCTTAATGTGATTTGTTTTCAGAGTGTAAAAGATAAACTGAACCAAGTCATGCGCACTATTGGCCCAGGTGGACCAAGCGGTACGTTTGTGATTTATCCTGAGAAAAGCAGGCATTGAATTTCTTACTTATTTCTTTCATTTGTATTAAGTTTAATTTTTTTCTTTTCTCATTATTGCAGCTGAAAATACATACTACAAGGTAATCACTACATGTCTGTTGTCTCATCCATCGCTAGTCAGCACAGATACATGGGGAAACAGACAGCTCTATGCTGCTTATCAAAGTGAAATTGAAGTTCCAACCAACTTCTATATTCAGTAAAGGATACTATGGAAATAAATACTTATAAACTCTAAATACTCATAATTTGCAGCTATTGACTATGTGTTTTTTTTTTTGGAAATAATCAGTTGCCTTCAATAAGCTAGTTTTTGTTGAGAAATGCTGAATTGTATATTTTCAAATGATATTGATATCATTAACTGGATATGTTGAACCTTATTCTACCTTTTTGTAAAATGGAGGTGCCATTTGAACAAGTTCCTGATCTAGTGGCAAGTCGCCGAGTATTTATACTGAAAGGGTACGCATATGTAGCAATGAGCCAGGTGAATATGCTTTTGACTACTTTGTGTATAGATCTGAAATTATTGTCTTCCGTTTCATGACAGAATCTATGGTTCACATTGCAGGTGGTTTCCCTACTTGTCACGCAATATCGCAGTTATCTTTCAAAAGCACTTGTGTTAACAAATAGGTTCTTCTCTATTCTGATGCTTCTATTCTTTAACATTTTGTGATAGTCTCAGCTGGTCAAAAGCTTGGATTACATTTTCATGTTTTAGACATAATTTGCGGGACCTATGACCTTATTCTCTGATAATATTCCTGTTTTGATGAGATAAGAAACTACACTTGCTCAGAATTTGATGCCTGAGCAGAGTCATGGTTTGAACAATTCTTTTCTTGCTTGATTTTTACACTACAAAATTTTTGTTTGTCAGAACTTCAAACCAAACCCTTACCTGTTGCGAAATCACTTGTTTCATTAAATGATTTTCTTGAAGAATTTTAAATTTGCAGTACTATATATTTTTCATCCTATCTATCAAGATTATTTATCTGTTATCTTACAAGCAATCCCACGGAAAAAAGTTTAAGCAATCCCACGGAAAAAAGTTTATCTCTAAAATGTCAAAACCTGCATTATATGCTGTCAGAAAATGGACATCTATGATCAGAGAGCAAGAGAAAGATCGGTTGACTCCTGTAAGTATCCAGACTTATGCTTCAGTATCACCATTCAGATTCTTGTAGCATCTGAACATCTTTGCTTTGATAGATTGTTGAAGCCCTATCAACAAGTTATTTAGGTCCAGACTATAGCCAGGTAATTTTGGAAAACCATCTAATTTTCTATTTCCGCGTGCTTGATTTTCAAATTGGTTGGTTGACTTATGAATTTATATTGCAGCCAAATGATTCTGCGGAGATATCATTGAAGGACATCGATCAAGTTGCCAAAAGTTCATTTCCTCTCTGCATGCGTCATTTGTTTGAGAAGGTAACAAATTGATTTATTTTCTTGATCGTCCTTCTAGTTGGGTTATGAAAACCTGTCCCAATCTTCTCGTGCAGCTTAGGGAGGATCATCACTTGAAGCATGGAGGACGAATGCAACTGGGTCTCTTTCTAAAGGTTATTTCTTGAGCTTATTTAGATTTCTGTTATATGTTCCCATATACTCTTCTGATGCTTGAGGTGCTGAAACTTTCCTGAGAAGGTTTCACCTGTCCTTTTAAATTGCCATGAACTTAGAAAATTTCAAATGGAATTCATTGTTGTCTTTTATAAAAATAACTTTTATACTGTTTGCTCTCTTTTGCTGGCTGAACATTTGTACATGTGTCATACTGCAATTTGGACTCAAATTTAACGATGTCACTGATGAGTTATGTGTATGCATTTTTAGGGTGTTGGACTCAATTTGGATGATGCTCTTGCGTTTTGGAAAGCAGAGTTCTCCAGGAAGGTGGCCACACACTATTGTTTACTGTTTTTTTTTAGTTTCTTTTTTTGTATCAGCCTTAACTGTCAATAGCTCTCGGGTAATGCCAACCCAACATCAACTGCAATCCCTTTTAAAAAGAAGTTGCTAATTAATTCTATATCTGTGTTACTTTCTGCTGAAAATTGAAAGTTTTGTCATGATCTCAAACTTGTATATGTGTAACTCCTAGCACCTTTAATTTCTTTCAAAATGTATGCAAAAAGAGAATATGGTAATTCAATATCAGTGACGTGAGTATCTCAGAAGAAAATTCAAAGTAAATGCTAAAATTAATATGAGAAGTTGAACTGTTTCATGCCTACACTCATGAACCAATACTGTCAGAATATAGAGGAAATTTTCTGTTGATAAATGAGAAGCATATGTAACCCATGTAATATGCTTTGTGTTTGCTAAAATTTAGCCTTAATAAGCATGTTCAATTTTAGGTTGGACCAGAAAGATTTGACAAGGAATATTCATACAGTATCCGTCACAACTATGGAAAAGAAGGGAAAAGAACGGTAATGTCATCTCTTCCTCTAACTGATGATTCTTTCGACTTTAAGAATTGAATCAATAAGTTATGTTTTAGCAGTTTCCTTTCTATAAGTTTTGATCAATTTTATATTAATTTTCTTTTATTCAATGTATCAAGTTCTGTTAAATTTTATGTGTTGTTTGTTGTGACATGGTAATATCGATACATTTTTATTGAACTAATGATTTTTCACCTGCAGACGGAGTAAAAGAACATTGAGTACACAGTTGTTTATTTATTTTTCATTCTATGATCTTATTTATATACATACATGTTCGTATGAGAGAGAGGGGAGGAAAAAAGAGACTTCATTTTTCGTCTAAAATGTAGTCTCCTTGTATAGTCTTTGGACCATGTATTCCTATATAAAGAATCTTCCGTCTAAAATGTAGTCTCCCAAATTGAGGAATAATCCTAATCAATATTCGTATCTCTCCTAGTTTCCAGTTTTCATTTTAGATTTTTACAATGCCAAGGCAGATAATTGCCAGCCATAATTGAGTTCTTAACAATAACCTCTTTTATTTTCAGTATCCTGGCAGGTTTAATACAATTAACAAAGTTAACATCAGTTTCTCTTTGTCCTGTGTTTGGTAGCCCAACTGAATCTGCAATTTGACTGTAATCATCAATGATGCAGGATTACACACCCTACTCATGTCAAAAGATAATATCATCCACACCAGGTGTTGGAGATCATCATGGGTGTCCGTATCGTCATTTCAGGTTAGGCCTATTGGTGCTATGGCATTCTATCTTTAATAATCTAAAATCTTAACTAACCCTTCCAGTTTCAATATGCTCACATTATCACCCTTTAGTTGGGGGAAAATGCTCTCTAGTGCTTTCTTGCAATTATCCCCTGGAAATTTTATCCTACGCCATAAATTCTAGATAGCTGACCGATTCATTGCTTGAGACTTAAATGTTTTAAACTGCCTTTCGGCTTGTCTTACCAACTAAGCTTTTGAATTTTTGCTTGTCCCAGTGTTTAATTTGGCATGAAAAAAATTCTCTGGAAACATTTCGTGTTGCACTATGATTTGTGTTTTCGGTACTGATGAATTATGATATATATGGCATTATAAATCACTGGATGCTTAGACGTGATTCATTTATTGGATCTTGCTATGGAGTTAATTCAATAGGCAATGGAACCTAACCCAGTATATCAAAGTGATTAATTATCACTTTGAATATAATATTCAAAATTACATGCATTAATCAGTTTACGCTAGCCTGAATAAGATCAGAAGCTACAATCTCATTACCAGTAGCACAAGAGACATGATCAATCATAGTTTGCCTAATATTGTAAATTTTCAAATTTGCCGGAACTCATTAATATTGTGTGAGCAGTGAGGAGAATTTGCGAGCAGCACTCAATAAGATGGGAGTAAGCCATCGTGCAGTTGAGAGCGTCATGGATAAAGTGCGGAATAGACATTATCAGGTTATTTTGTGTTTTACTGAATTTCTCTCTTGTTTCAATATTTATTTCACCAGAACTTCTGAGTTAAAAAGTACTTAACACTCTGAACCTGATTGTGTAGTTGGCATGCACCTTGACATTTGAAGCTATTCATGGGGCATCTTGTGATGAAGGAATTAATCATCCAAACCAATACTACAGTGACAGCAAGAAAGTTCTAGAATCGAAGGTAATCATGTGATTATTACAGCTCAGAAGGCTTAAGTGTTACAGAATGTAATCAATTAACATATTTGGTAGAACTTACAGAATGTAATCGGAATATATAGCATGAGAGGTGTAATGTCAAATTGGTTTGACACGGTATATATGATTTATTCGTTTGATATTCCTTCCACAGAATAACTCAAAGGGCACTTAAGAGAGTCATTTAGCATGGGAAGATTTGTGTCACCAAATATCACTGTAAGTGTTAAAAACCGTAATTATTCTTCTTCCTTCCACTCCAGCTCATGGATGTTTTAATGGAACTTATAAGGGTTCGTTCGACATTACTGTTCAGGAGCGAATAACTTTCAGTTTAGGAAACTGGTAAACTACCAGTTGACAATACAACAAGAAAGTTGGCAAGAGTGTTCAGTGCTGCTTATGAGGGCTACAAATTTTATGAAAATTGTAGTTTTATTCCCTGAAGACCACAGTGGACACCTCAGTTTGTGTTTTTATATGATTTAATCTTATTTATTTATTTATTTATTTTTGTCAATTTCAGGTGATCCTCTGCCTTGGTATCTTACATAATATGCGTATATGGAAAGTGTAACTCAGCACTTTGCTTGGGCAGTAGCCGTAATGCTTGTACTATCTAAAATTTATCGACTATTGATATAGATAGTTAACCCATTTGTATTGTAGATTATATTTAGTGACTCTGTAAACTGAATTGATTACGATATGGAATATTTTAGTCAATACATGCTATTTGATAAACCCATTTTGGAGCTTGCGATAACCTGTGTGCGCTGGCCCTCTCGTCGACCGGCTGGTGGTGCTCGACTCGCCGGTAGGCTTTCTCGGGGATGTTGGCTCTCGAATTTTGATTACGATCGTTAACCCATTTGTATTGCTGTACCTAAGGGCGTGATTGTTTACATTTTCTACAGTAAATATTTCATTCAAAATTCAAATTTAACTCAACTTTAACTCAACTTCACTATCTCAAATATTATTAATATAATTAAATAATATCAACCAATCATTATTACACATCACATCAATTTTAATTCACTATTCATCACTCACATAATTTTAACTAACCATCACATCCTATCATTTTCTCATATTTTTGCATCAAATCAACTTTAATTATTTTAATTTAAATATTATTTTAATATATCAACTAACAACTAATCATACTACTTTTTTTTCAAACTTAATTATAGTTAAAAGAAACTAGTTTTTTACTAGTTGAATTCATATACAATCACCCTTTAGAAATGATGGATCATCAATTTCAAATTAGAACAATCAATTCCAAATTTATCTTAGAAAAAAATAAAGGTTTTTAGATTGTAAATGTTGAGGACGGACAACTTTCGAATGAGAACTGAAATGAAAACCATAGCACAAAATTAAAGGAAATGTTATTACGGTACTATCGTTTGGTGTTTTAACCGTTGAATCCACTTTACAGTTGGTATAAGATAAATGATTCAACGGTGAAGGACATAACATTTCCACAATATCAAGTGTATTCTTTCTCAAAATATATACAATTTCTCACAACATCTAAAAGGAAATCAAATACTATCATGTATTTTTCCCAATTATCATGATGCAAGGGTATTATCGTCTTATCGACATTATGAGTCATAGTCCTGCCTTGCTTGAAATTCAGCCGACTCATCATTCCATTTCCAGCAATTTCTTTCGCAGGCCAGCTTTTTGACGACCGCGCACTTTCTCAGATCCGATTCCGATTAGTTTTCCGACGCTCTCCGATCAGCTTGAGGTGCGTAATCACCCCCACTCTTGGATCTGAACCAATATTTCCTTCACACTAATCTCGAAGCTTTCCGAATTCTTCAAATTCTGGAGCTTTCGTTGTGCTTCTTTTAAGGGATCAGTGTTTTTGTACAAGAATTTTTTGGATCAGCATTGCTCTGGTGGAAGATCATTTGAATTATTTCTGATTTTTTGCACTGAAGATTTTTGGCCGGACAAAAGATGAGTCAAGTATTCGAAGGTTACGAACGTCAATACTGTGAGGTCTCAGCTAATCTGTCCAAAAAGATTACTTCAGCTGGTCTTCTTGATGGCGGTGAGACACGATTGCATTTCCCCTCTTTTTAGCTTATCTGAATTGTGATTTATGTACATTTGTTGTTTGGTTTTAGGATAATCTGCTGGAAGAATTGAGTTAAGCTCAGGTGGCTTATTGTTTATCATTTGTTATGGGTGAATTATTTTGATGTGGGCCTGGATAAATGTTTGTGAATATGTTTGAGTCGATGATGCCTTCGAATAGGGTCGTTCTAAATTTGAATCATGTATCTGTCTATTAGTTGGAAGTAGGTAAACTATGTCCATGGCCCTAGGTAAGCCAAAGTTGTAAGAATTTGTAGGATATAAGATGAAAGAAACATAATTAGTTCACCGGTTCATGCAAAATGAGGCGTTTTGAGTCGTTCTAATTCCAAGTCGTATATCTGTTGATTAGATGGAAGTAGGAAAACTATATCTGTTGTATATAAGGTGAAACAGTCATAATTAGTTCACCGGTTCATGCAAAATGGGGTGTTTCGTGTTCGGGGTGTTTGACTGGAGCTCTTTGCATATCTATAGTTAATTCACCTATCGTTTCGGGTTTGTTTTGGGTCAATTCTCGTGAACCTTAAATGTTGCTGTTGGGTGACTAACTGTTAGACAAACATATTTTCTTACAAAAAATACATACTAAAATTTTGAAATGTCATACTTTTGTTTATATTTTATTCAAAAGTATGACATTCTAGTATTTGTTGGAGTGGAGTGGCTAACTAAACATTAGGCATTCCACTGTTTGTGAATATGTTCATGTCAATGAGGAATTCGTTCTAAATCCAAGTCATGTATTGGTTTATTAGTTAGAAGTAGGAAAACTATGTTCTTGGCCCTAGATAAATCGAAGTTATAAGAGTTTGTATGACACAGTGAAACAGACATAATTAGTTCACTAATTCAAGCAAAATGGGGTGTTTCGTGTTTAAGGTTTTCTTACTGGAGCTCTCTGTATACTTATAGTTAATTCGCGTGTTTCAGGTTTTTGACTAGAGCTCACTGCATGTTTATAGCGATTCACATGTTTGAGATTTTTTACTATAGCTCTCTGCATGTTTATAGTTAATTCACTTTCATATGTTGTAGATAGTACTGATGACCCTTTTTTTTCACAATTGTAGAACAGAAGAAACAGAAATTATCTGAAATTAATGGAGATATAGACAATGCTGAGACTCTGGTAATTTACTACAATCAGATAGAAATTTTTACTACATATATTGTTTTGAAGCTCTACTAACAATTTCATGGGCTTACTCTTCTAGATACGTAAAATGGATCTAGAGGCTAGAAGCTTACCCCCAAGTGTGAAAGCTACTCTTCTTGCCAAGTTGAGAGAATATAAAACTGATTTGAACAACTTGAAAACGGAAATAAAGAGAATCACGTCAGCTAATGCCAATCTAGCAGCGCGGGATGAATTGCTGGAATCAGGAATGGCGGACACATTGACGGTATTTACCTTCCAGTTTCTTCTCATATAATAATTGCTGAACCGAAAAATGAAATGATTTTTCTTAGGTATTTACAGTGTTATCAAATGGCGGCCATGGCGGCGCCATGGTGATAGCGTGGCGGATTTTTGACAATCCGCCATGCAAATTTTGTGAATGATGGCGGTCATGGCGGCGCCATAGACCGCCACGGCTATGGCCGAGTTTTGGCAAAACGCCATGTACCGCCATCCGCAACTAATAACACTGGGTATTTAAGCTACCAGGTTAGTTAGAAGATAACAACCATAATTACTGAATCTTTTTGGTGTTGACGTCATTTCTTTACTGAGACGCCAATACACTACGCTTTTGATTAGTGGTTTTAAGTTCAAACTTGAATGTTTTGTTAATTGTAAGCTAAATGTGCCGAGAAGAGACAGGTTTAGTCGTGATTTTATATACTCATATCTGTGTAGGACACAAAAAAAAAGGCTAAATCATGTTGAACCTGACTTAGTGCATCTTGGTTGTTGATTATTCTGAAAAATATAATACTAAGTTCTGACATCAAGTCATGTTAATTTAGCTTCTAATATTTTGATATTATGTTCATGCACGAGGTGGCAATCATTTTTTGTATTGAACTTGGCAGTGCCTGTAGTTGCTTATTTTTTTTATTTTTGGTTACTCTTTTGTACATATTGTTATTTCTTTTTGTTTTCGAAATCCTATGCCCACAATTAGGATGGAAAATATTTGCTACACGAAGTTACTTCTGTTGGACTGATTATTTAATGCTGCAGGCATCTGCTGATCAAAGAGGAAGGTTGCTCATGTCAACTGAGAGACTGAATAAGTCGGGTGAAAGGATTAGGGAAAGTCGAAAAACAATGCTGGAAACTGAGGATCTTGGAGTCTCGATCCTTCAAGATTTGCACCAGCAACGCCAATCTCTCCTGCACGCCCATAACACGGTACATCACAAGTGTTTTAATTTATGTATTGCATTCATATTAACTTTCCACACGATTTCAAATTTTAGCATTTACACATTTCATATTCATTATTACTGTTATTATCTGATTAGAAATGAATTAAATATTGTGCTGAGGCAATACCATGGTCTATTGGGTATTACATTCTCAGTTTTAGTTTATCCCCCTTACACATTCTACTTTTTTTTTCCTCAATTTTGTGGACATTTGAGATCTGCCGGTCTTATTTCATTTTCCTTGCTGCAAACTATCTGAGATTGAGCTGACTCTGTAATCGAGCTTTGGATGGTGAATGCTTTTATTTGTTTCTCAAATTTTTCGACAGCTCCATGGTGTGGATGACAACATTAGCCGGAGCAAAAAAATTCTGACAAATATGTCGAGAAGAATGAGCAGAAACAAGTGGATCATTGGTGCTGTTATCACGGTCCTTGTTATAGCAATACTTCTCATTCTTTACTTCAAGCTTACCCATTAACTTGCTGAACTCCATAATTGTGAGGTGTTTTTGTTTTTGGTCGCTATTGTTTGTTCATGTGGTGTAATTGTAGTATTGCATGTTGTGAGCCAAGTTATGATTGCTTGCGTGCAAGACTTCAGTACATTTGTGATTTTACCATATTGAAATTGTTAATTTTAACCCAGTTGGATGTAGCTCGTGAAGAAGTGTGACTATTGTTGACACGACATGATAGGACGACAAAAAAAAAAAAAAAGAATGGGTTCGATTATTCCTAGTCTGTTTTGTGTTTCTATCCTGTCGATTTTTAAGGACATAAAACTTTCCTGCCGTGTTCGGGTTGTGTTCATATCAACCGAGTATGCATGACAAAAGTTGACTGATATGAGACGTAGATTGTGTTTGGTAAGCACCATAAGCGCCTATACCTTATTTGGTTAGCTTATAAGCTCCGTGTGTCCAAATAGTTTTAGTTTGGTATGACTGATTTTTTAAAAAAGTTCTAGTTTATTTCATAAGTTTATTCGGGTAATTTTTTGAATAGGCCTATTGAACAGTAATGTTAAAGAGCCAACAGCCAATGGGACAACTCCATGTGGGGCTGTTCCACATTGGAGTCATGTGGGACAGTCCCACATGGAGCTGTCCCATTGGCTGTTGGCTCCGTAACGGAGCCAACAGTTGGCTCCTTAGCATTATTGGCCTATTGAAAGCTAGCTTAACAATTTATTTACCAAACACTTTTAGCATCTAAGTTAGTTTTTCAGTCATAAGTCATAATTTATAGTTCGAAATTTACTTATAATCTATCAACTAACTTATTCTTATCAAACATAGCTATGTTATTCTCTTATGATGTGCTTAAAAGCACATATACAACTTTAAATTACACTATAATTACCTCTCATTTTCCTTCTTGCAATTTTTTTTTTTAAAAAGAAAATAAAATTGCTACAAGTACATAATAAATGTACATAACACTCACATGGAGTGGGGTCCACTTGAGTTTTTATTTTAGATATTGTATACAAGGGTGTACTTAAAATTCATTTTGGCACAATCTCAATTTGTGGGTGGTTGTAACTTACAAGTCTCTCACAACTATTTGAAAATAGGCCAAAGTTGAGTGGAACATAAAATTGAAAAAGATAAAGAAAATGGTAATAGATGAAGATTGATTTTTTTTTTTTACTATCACAAATACCAAAA